ACATGCATGCATGCATGATGCATGATGCACACACATACATGTAGTGCTAAATCACACACTGTCTTTCTTTCGGGTTGCATTTTTTCCTTTTCTGGTTTTCTGGGTTTGCATTTGTATTGCTTTTTCATTCATTGTGTTTCTTTTGCCCGTTAAAGAGGTTTCATGAGTATTCAGTGTAAAAATAAATACTTGTAGATGCATGGTTGAGAGCATCATCTACTGCTTACACAGCTGCATAATGCCGTTTATTATTATTTTTTAAATTTTACTTTATTAATTTTTCGGCAACGCAGATGATGATGATGATGATGATGATGGTTGGGAGCGAAAAGGAACGTTTTTCCTAGATCTTTGCACCTAGGGTGGGGGGTGGTGGTGAAAGAACTATTGTAGTTACGCTGACTATTTCCGCCATCATTTGTACCATGCGCTTTTAGTAATGCGCCTCCACAGTTTTTTATAAAATTAATTATAATTAGTCCTACTTATTCACAATTATAATGAAGCGAGATGTCTGCTCAATTGCAGGCCATACCTGCCTTCCTGCTCGACCACATACGTGTACATGTATGGGTACAAATGACGTGAGTTATGAGGTTGCGAAACAAAATGGTGGAATGCCAAGACAGGAAAACGCACAACACGTAAACACGACGTGTACATCGTTTGCGTTCACAATATTCAATAATGGATAAAATAGCCTCAAGGCATGCATGAGGAAAGCTGGGGAAAAAACCCGAAAGAGACGAGCCGTAAAACTGAAAATATTGACTACAGGGCGAACACGGCTGTACCGGCTGTACCCCCTGGGAGAAAGTCTTGAACTTTTTTCGGCCACTTCCCCTTTTTGGTGAGATACGGCCTGCTGTAGGGGTGCGCAAACAGCACCAGAGAGTTCAGCTCACTCGACTTGATGTCAGATGTGCGCCCGCTGGGGAGGTTCACACCCGCCACCTTCTGGTTCGCCAGGAAATGCAGTCCACTTTGTACTACGGAGGAGCTCCGTTGCAGATCAGACTGCAAATCGCGCGCTGAACTTTCACCAAGCCGTGAGCAAAGCAATACCGGTACATGTAAACACGTACTCCTAGCACCGCTAACATAATGCGCACAAGTAGCAGCTCTTACCATTTTGTACGGAGAAGGGATGAACACGACGTACTGGCAGAGAGACACGTACGACGCTGACCTTCAACTTGCCGGACTTCTGTCCAAGGACAACGAAAGGGAGGCACACAAAGCAAATCGAAAAAGAACAGCGAAGGTAAAGCAAATCATGAAGGCAGTCGCAAAACCAAAAAACAAGAGGCAAACTACAAGGTGTCTAATGGCCTTTACCTTGGCTCACTGCTTACCTGAAGTAGTCCCTTGGTGTGCTTGCTCAGACTGATCGTGCTGGCCGAGCTATCCAGACGTTTATTCGCTCAGGACTGGCATCGCAAGTAGTCTTGAGCAGGGCTTGACCTACGTCTTTCTGCGGACTTTCTAGTGGTCCCCGCTGTAGTAGAGAGCTCCGGACAATAGAATGACCTTTGCACGAAGATCACAGATACATTGTACGTGGCATGTCGGCAGGTAGCCATTTCTGAAATATGATTACTCGCACAGATGTGATGAGTACGTCCGAAAACTGCTCTTCCAGCGCCATTCTCTTCCGAACAATCCACGTCGCTCCGGACCGGAGGCCTACATCATCATCATGATCATCTACACCGACCACCATCGCCCGCGGTAGGTACTCCAGGCCGGATCACTTGTCGACTGTGAGTGTGAGTGCGTGCAAGCGTGTGTTAATTTTAAGACTCACGCTATTTCCGACGTCACCCGAAGTTCAGCTCGCGTTATTTGGCTTTGTCTAACCTTCCAACTTGGAAAGCTCAGGTGATCGTTCTCGTGCACATGTCCGTGGCGCATCCCTTTCCCTCGTTGAAACTTCCCGCACGTGAGTCGTCCAAGTTGGAAGGTTTTTGGTTTGCGCTTCGTAGATGTATTGGAGCTACAGTGCTGGCGACTGAAATCCGACCCTGTAACCGGCTACTGCGGGTTGAGGAAAAGAATGATCTTTATTCGTACTGCACAGGGTTATTATGATGTGAAGGTGTCAACTAGACAGGCGGGATGGTAGGTGATAGGCCGATGGGCCGTGGATAGAGGGGATAGGAGTGTGAACATCAGGTGACACTGTTACACCCCCCCCCCCCCCCCCCCTGAATGGGGCGCTCACATCGCAAAGAATGTGAGGCCACCGCTCAGGGGGTCGGATTTCAATTGCCAGCACTGTACATATAAAATTGTAACATGTCATGTACATGTAGGTCGTCGAATGTCTCAATATGCTTGTCCGTTCTGTGCCTTGTTGTCGCCCTAGCTGACTGTATACCATCTCGTTACCTTGGTGGATTGTCAGTCATCACTAGTACCGTAAAGTACCGCCAGAGCGCCCCACCATCTCGTCCCTTCGTGGTCGTATTGTGGAGGTGGTCTGCTGTCTGTAGGTCATACGACACGAACCTTGTACACATATTCCACATTTTGCAGTAAATCCGTACCTTCGAGCGGACACAAGGTCCACACAAAAACCTGCCAAGCGTGCCCTTACAAACTAAGGTTCTCACATCGTACAAACTTCGTTGCACTCTGCCATACGATTTTCCTTTCCCTGGCTGTAAAATCAAGGTGGGGCGCTCTCGCGAGACGGGGCGCTCTGGGGGTACTTTACGGTACCGGTACCGTAGTAGTAGTACCGTAGTATTGACATATCCGCGGCAAGCCGCTTATGTACAACAGCATGGGAGAGGATAACAACAAATGAAAATAATTATATTGTTGGGGAAATCCACGCTATTATCGAATATTCAACAATGACGGGTGTGGGGTTATACCAAATTCCCATAATGTGGAAGTACGTTATTATTGTTGAAAGCACTAGGTGATCTGCACTCTACAATGTGACCTGTGCGATTATATCGTTAAATGATTGCCTGTTCCGAGCCACCAAACGCAGTGTCTCCAGGTTCTTCAGACTCCGCAGACGCCTGGACGTTGCCTTGGCTAATTCGTTGTCTATCACCACTGGTAGGGTGATGCGCGGGCGTCCGAGCCAGCCCCGATTCTGTCGCTGGAAATACGCTGTCAAAAGCGTTTGACCGTGTCCAACATCAACGTCTGATTGATAAACTATTCACCCTGGGAGTCAATGGCAGAGTATTGTTATGGTTGGCTAGCTATCTGCCTGGTCGTACTCAGCGTGTCAAGGTGTGTGAGGCTCTCTCTCTCTGATGCAGTCCCATGCTCAAGAGGTGTGCCCCAAGGCAGTGTTCTTGGGCCGCTTCTCTTTGTCCTTTACACGAGTGACATTTCCGACGTCATACCTTGCATTGTTGTTCATCAGGAGTTCGCGGACGACATCATCCTAGATTATTCTGATTCAGATCTGGACACTGTTTGCAAGACTTTGACTACGGCTGTGACACGTCTGTCTGACTGGCTCTCCGAAATTGGGCTTCTGCTGAATACCGGCAAAACCCAAGTCATGGTAATTCAACGTCGGGGACTCACTGGCGACATACCAGTCGTGAAATGTAAGGATCAAGCCTTAACTGTTACCTCCACTGCCAAATACCTTGGCGTAACCATTGATGACCAGCTATCCTGGCAGCCACATGTCTCCAGTGTTGTGCAGAAGGCGTCAGTCGCCATCAGCCAGCTATGGCGCCATGGGCGATCTCTGCCCATAAGAGCCCGCAGACTTTGGTACATTGGCATTGTGCAAGCACGACTAACGTACGCATCCAATGCATTCTTCCCGTCGCTGACACAGCAGCTGCAGAGTCGTTTAATCAAATCCAGCAAATCCGGAATTCGTGCAATTTTCCGACTCTCCACAGCCCCCCCCCCCCCCTCCTCGTGCGCTTATCTATTCGATCCCTAACTCACATTTTAACTACAAGGTTTTGTTTTTTGTTTTCCGTTGCCTACATGATCTTGCAAGTCCTCTTTTCTGCCCCAACTTTCAGTTGATGGCTAACACAGGCCAAGCATCCCGGGATGATCACCGAATTACTCGAGGACAGGAGCAGCGGCTACTGCAAGTGCCTTTCCTTCCTGGACCTTCCGGTCGTCAGTCATTGACATTTGTGGGAAGCACTCTTTGGAATGCCCTTCCCAGCGATATTCGCCTCCACAGTGCGGCGTTTGCCTTTAAACTGGCTCTGAACAGAATTAATTGTAATTTGTAACCACCTTGCTCGGCATCCCTAAACATTACTGCATGTTTTCTCGGTGTTTTCTTCACTGCATGCTTACACATACACACACCCATTTGAATTATATACAAACATGTTATGATTCTTTTCAATATTTCCTTCTCTCTTAATATTATATTCGTTCTTAGCAGGAACTGGAGGTTTTTCCTCTGGTGAGAAGGCAGAATTGCCTGTGCTCTAAACGAATTCAAATAAAAGAAAGAAAGAAACAAACAAAACTGTCATGCTCACCTGCGCTGGAGGCGTAGAATATGACCAAACAGTGCTCTTCTGCTTAGTACGGAATTGGCTCGGCATTGCAGCGGGTATATAGGTCTGTGTTGGAGATAATCTGTGTTGGAGATAATTTCCGGGTAAGATCCCCCTAATAGACGCCGGAGCTGCTTTCTGTGGAACGCATCCATTGCTGTAGCATCCTGGGATGAAAGCACCCACACGCCACAGTTGTAGGTCAAAATAGATAGCACAAATGCATCAAGCAACCTCAGGCGAGTTGCTTCGGAGATAACTTGATGCGCGTATTACTAGTAACTATACTACTTGTGAATCCCTTTCTCTTCACATTATTACTATTGGCTCAACATCGGAGTTTTTATCACTTAATGCACTTTGTGCTGTATTGAATGATAATAATAATAATTTTAGAATTGCGATCAACAGAACGAGCTGAACCGACATTTGCACAAAGGCTTTTATTGTATTCAAAAAAAACGAGTGGATACGAAGGCAGTGAAGAACATGGAAGAAAGAAAAATGTGATATGGAAGAAATGATGAAAAAAATTTTGTACTTCGAACTAGTTTTCGCACAACACTCCTCAGGAAGCTACGTTGTACTAATGAAAAACAATCCAGAAAGATACTAATAAAGAGAAATGGAGTGAGAAGAAACAACACCTATGAAAATGATAATCCTAGCACTAAGGTAATAACAGGAAAAACTGCGAAAGCACTTAACGAACTTGTAAGGACTACTAGTATACTGTGACACAAGATATGACACCATGGCCAACCAGAGCCAAACAGACAGAACAAGCTGCTACTAAAACAATTTCAAACGAATAATGCTGTCCTTCTGGACACACAGATTAGGCTTATGAATACGTTGACAAACAGCTTCTAACACACTCAATTGCAACTTATAACAATGACGAGCACGGCACAAAACAGAAAAAGAAGAATCAGAATAAACCTTACAGCAATCAGGACGAGATGCAAGATGCTTATACACTGATGACTTCCTACTAGAAAACACACGCTCGCACCCACTCTTACTCACACAATCATTCTCGCTCTCACACTCACCGGAATCACGTGTGTTGCATGCAGACACGTTTGGATCAGCATCGCTTGCTGCATCGCCGGCAGAGACGACAACAATACCTACCTCAATATCAACGAGATCAACGAGACCCAGAAGTGCAACTGCTAATTACACCATGACCTATTTCAGTACGGAAGTACCGAGCCAACGGAATACACAACAGGAACGTGAGACGAGGGATGGGAGGAGACGGGACCTGATTGCTCCGAGGCAGGACGTCGTTGAGGAGGATTCGGCCAGTGAGTCCAGTGATTCCGGTGAGTGTGAGAGCGAGAATGATTGTGTGAGTAAGAGTCATGGTGTCATATCTTGTGTCACAGTATACTAGTAGTCCTTACAAGTTCGTTAAGTGCTTTCGCAGTTTTTCCTGTTATTACCTTAGTGCTAGGATTATCATTTTCATAGGTGTTGTTTCTTCTCACTCCATTTCTCTTTATTAGTGTTTTTCTGGATTGTTTTTCATTAGTACAACGTAGCTTCCTGAGGAGTGTTGTGCGAAAACTAGTTCGAAGTACAAATTTTTTTCATCATTTCTTCCATATCACATTTTTTCTTTCTTCCATGTTCTTCACTGCCTTCGTATCCACTCGTTTTTTGAATACAATAAAAGCCTTTGTGAAAATGTCGGTTCAGCTCGTTCTGTTGATCGCAATTCTAAAACTACTGTCGCCTCGACGCCTATTTAAATAATAATAATGATAATAATAATAATTTGGAAAGGATTGGGAGAACTTCAAATTCAAAGGATCAGTCGGGGAAGTGAACTGTCAGCGGTCCAGCCTGGTCCCATAGCTCAGTGGTTAGAGCATTGCTCATGACAAGCAGGGTCCCAGG